AACTTTTCCCAATTATTAATAACTTTTTTTTCTGTTCATACTTCTTTTTCCCAATTTCAAATTTGAAACTTACTTTTTCTTTAGACTCATATTCATTATGTTGTGTCATTAAGATTAACTTGTAAAAATAAAAATACATTAAAAGTGGGGGATACTGATCAATTTGATAGAGGCTAAAAATCACTTCCCATTTTTTTAGTGTTATTATTCAAACCCCAATCTCGACAGTTGTTCAAATAGATCATAGATAAACTCAAATCCCAGATATTAGGAAGGGATCAGATCGACAGTAATGATAGTGCAATCTCAAAGCTTAATCGCGAGAATTTCGGAGTTGCATTCCATCTTGATAATAATCCCTTTATTTTGCTTTTTCCTTTGTAAAAAACTTTACATAAACCTCTTTCAACGATGGAAAAGGGGTTAACAGATTAGTCTAGGCATTATTGAATTTCTTTTAAGCTCTCAAAGCAAAATAAGAAAACAATGGATGTAGGCTCAAGATCATAACTTGCGAACCACCTTAAAATCTTTTTGTCATTTACTTTACTGCTTTTGATTCATACTTTGCTGGTTATCATTAATCACACACACACATTCCGATTCCATCACGGCCAGTCAGATCACTCTAGTTGGTGCGAATCTCGTACAACATTTTGGTTGAGAATGAGGGGCTGTAACGGCCCACAGCCGCTACTGCTGCTGGGTCCGGCCACGGAGTTCACACAGCTCCCTACACGTGGCAGGATATCTCTCCCCACCTTAAGGAGATTTCTTTCGCCTTCCCCACCACTCGAACTCAAGACCAAGGGGCAAGTCATTTGGGAAGCATGGTGAGTACCATCAGCTAGCTAAAAATGTAACATCTACTGAAAACTGTACAATGCATGTATAATAACAATAGAAAAGTTGGGCCCAAAGTTTCTTTTTCATTACAATTCATGTGTCTTTTATACATAAAGAGTATTGTTTCAAAATGTATTTTAAAAGACAAAACAGGGGAAACAGTGTACTATTCCTCATTGCTTGCCGACGCCCCTCCGACCGCAACATCACCTAGAACCTGCATCCACAAAGGAAAATAACGGGGTGAGCACAAAATAATGCTCAGTAAGTAAAACTCTCTATCTGTCTGTCCCCGTATGAATAACTCTTAATTCTTCCTTATGCTATCTCTGATTCTATTTCTGTTTCTAATAACATCATGGCCTCATCTTACCGGAGTACGGCCGATGGCGTTCACAACGCACCATCTCACTCTCTATGGCTATCGGGTGGAATTCACACAGTACCAACCCGTTCTTAGTGACTACCGAGTGAGGATCAACAAGCATCAACTCGGTTCTTTCTAACTATCGGGTGGAGATCACCTAGCGCCTACCGTTCCTCATGAATTTTGGGTAACGATCACTAAGCATTTACCCGTCTCTAGTCACTGTCAGGTGATGGTCACAAACATCAACCCGTTTCTACTAAATGCGGATGATGATCACAAAGCATCAACCTACTTATCTATCACTAACCGGGTAGCGGTCACAAAGCATCTACCCATTTCTACTACTCATGGGTGACGATCACAAAGCATCGACCCATCACTCTAAGGGCTATTCGGATGATGATCACCAAGCATCAATCCGATTCCCATAACGTCGGGGTGATGATCCCAAAGCATCCCCAACTATACTACTCTTCTAATTCATTCTATTGTAGCATTTTTCAATGCTCTCTACCCTTAGAGTAATTTTACCCACTAAGCTCTCTACTCATAGGGTAATTATAAATCACTTCTTACACTTTCTTAGTCACTTTTCCATGTACAACTAGTGCCTATGGATGGTTCATCTTCACCAATGCACTATGATATGCCAACATGCAATGTTGCAAGAATTAAGGTTCATTTCTCATACTCAAACCTCTTTAGGCATTTCATCAAACAACTCATGTGCACTATAAAACTCTATCTAGCCATGATTCTAAAACTTTCTTAACCATCCAAAATGGGGAAAAACCCCTTCACAAAGCCACAAAACCTGTCATAGAAAACACTTCCAAAAAGGGGATCCATAATACCCCTTAAATTCCATCTCAACTACCGTCCAAACCAACAACCCATTTCTCAATTTGCAAGGTATAAACAATCACAAAGCTATAAATCTCTATTTAATCCTTCATACATGCTATACATGCACATCACATACATACATCATTTCTATCAAAACCCTAATCAAGAAAATTCATAAATCTCAACTTGGGTTGGGTTTTACTTACCTGTTAAGGAGAGACTTCACAAATTCTTCCTTTCACTTGTTTAGCTTGACTTCTCCTCTAATCTTAACCAAAAGAATGAAACCCCAACTTCATATGGGTTAAAACTACTCCCAAATCACACAACTTAAGAAGAAATCCTTACCTTAGGAAGCCTTAGGTTGCTTTTCTACCCCAAAACCCTCAAAAATCCTTGAAAATCCTTGATCAAAAGAAAAGAGAAGTTAGAGGAGAAGAATGGAGAGTCACATTTGAGAAAAGAAATGAGGGGTTTCTTTGATTCTAATTCCTTTTAATGAAATATTAAAAACTCATTCCCATTTTGCCCTTGTTCTACTTTGGGAATTCCATCCATATCCTTGATTCATACAAACTCACCCCTATCTCAACCTATTCTCCATGAAATATCCTTACAATTAACTCCCCACTTTTCCTGCTAATTAGGGGTAGAAAGGTCAAATTGTCCTTAAGGAAGAAAATATCTAAAACTCAATCAAACTTTTATTCGGCCCGTCGCCGCGGCGAAGAAACCTCTGTCGCCGCGGCGAAACTTTCCAGGGAGTTCCCCTTGGTTTCAACACATCTTCGCCGCGGCGAAGCTTCTTCTTCGCCCCGGCGAAGCACGGCAGACTGAACTTCTTCTGTTTTCAACCAATTTTCAACCAATTTTCAGGGCAAACATTCAACCCAACACTCAATCAAACAATAAAAACCAACTCGATTAAGGGCAAAAGAGGAAACAATAACAACGTACCTCAAGCGGGGCGTTACAGGGGCTAAACCAAATTTGACAATTTCCAGCAATCTTTTTCAGTGACTCGATCACCTGAAAATTCAAATAGCCTATACTAGATCAAAGACCAACACCAAAAACCACAACAACATAGAAACCACCAATTAAGAGGTACATTAAACTATTCCTTTAGGTCGACCACCAGTGCCGCTAGTGCAGCAGATCGCTAACCAGTAGGGGATAAGGATGCTAAATCCCGAGAATAGGCAACTTGTGGAAATGATCAAAACAATGGTTGCACAGGCGATGCAACAGAACGTGGCTAAGTTAAGAAATCAACAATTGGCCCCCCAAGACCTATACCAGCCATGCTTCACGAATGTTACCTTGACAAGTCGGAACTTAGCTGGTGACCAATCTAGTTCATTAGCACCAAGGAGCAATTGACACCCTCAACACCACAAGGTACATTCCACTCACGAATGTGAGTCCCGCATAACCAATAGGGGGTAGGGACTTTGAATCCCAAGAATGGGCAACTTGTGAAAATGATCAAAATAATGGTTGCACAAGCGGTGCAATAGAATGTTGCTGAGTTAAGAAATCAACAATTAGCCCCCCAGGACCTAGACCAGCCATGCTTCATGAACTCTACCATGGCAAGTCAGAATTCAGCCGGCAACTAATCTAATTTGTCGGCACCAAGGAGCTATCGACACCCTCAACACCACAAGGTACATTCTGCTCATGAACATGAGTCCTGCAGGCAAACTAACCTGGGGAGGCTACTAGGGAAGCAGCCCATGGGGGAGAATGAAGGCAGTGGTCGTCCAAGGGATACTCGACCTACTGGACGATATCCCAAATGTTAGCGTGCCAATTTTAACCCACGCCAAAGGTGGGCTCAAACCTCGCAAGCTTACAAGATGAGTCACGCATGCCAATCTAGCAATGACCAACGTTTCAATTTTAACCAACGTCACGAGTAGTGCACCGAAGAGTATGATAGCACCAACCAACCTAGCCATCATGACTCAACCTCGCGCATTAATGCGTATGATAGAGAAGGCTCACAAGCAACTGATCTCCGAACTCACCTGCACGAGGTAAGGCTGAATAAATCCCACAGCCAGAGTACTCCTCATAATGAAGATTTAGATCAGGTGCAAAAAATGCTCGATGATCTAAGAGCTCGCTAGAACAATGCGGCGGAATAAATAGTGAGTTTTCCGTTCATAGAGGAAGTTCACCAAGCCTTGCTTCTTCAAGGATTCAGGGTGCCAAAAAGCAAGTTCGATGGAAAAGGGGATCCCAGAGACCACCTTAACTCTTTCAATGACTTAATAGAGTTGCATCAGGTTTGTGACTTGGCAAAGTGCTGCTGTTTTATAGTCACATTAGTTGGGGATGTCAAGAGGTGGTATAAGAGGCTCAAGGCAAACTCAATTCAATCTTGGCAACAGTTCTCCTCGCTGTACCTACAACAATTCCAAGCGAGGAGACAGTTTGCAATGTCACTCAGCTATCTAAGTAATATTTGCTAAGAAAGGGACGAAACACTGGCCTCATATTTAATGAGGTTCTAGAATAAACAAGCAAAGGTCACAGATGCGCTTGAAGAGTCGATCCAGACTTTGTTGATAGTGGGAATAAGGCCACAAGTGAAGTTGTGGAAATAGCTCCAAAGCGAGGATCAAGTGAGCCTAGCCAAGTTTTATCAAATGGCTGCCAAACATCAGTGGGTGGAAAGCTCGCTGACAGCCTTAGCTAGAAGCTTGCCAAGAAGAGCCCCCGATAGGTGACAAGATAGCCCAATAGATAAATGAAGGGGCCAAGATTGCAATGACAAGGACCAGAAAGGGTTCTAAAAGAGGCAAAAAACAAATAACCATAGGGATAGGCAACCTTTCTCGCGATATGTAGAATACACCCTTTGACTCAAGATGTGGCTCATATCTATGAGGTCTCCCGCGAGGCTAAGAATTTGCTCGTGTCGGAAAGAATGAGAGGGGCACCAAGCAGAAAAGATCACCAAAAATACTGCCAGTACCACCGAGACATTGGTCACAACACTAATGAGTGTCGGGCTGTAAAAGACACCATCGAAGATCTGATTAGAAGAGGCCACTTGAAAGAATCTGTCAAGAAGGCACTAGCTCGCGAGAGTACATGCGAGCAAAATAATTAGGTCCAACAAGCCCCAACAAACAACGAAGTTCTGGTGGGCATAATATATGGGGGGCTCAACATCATAGGGGGCTCAAGGCGTTCTCATGAGCAATATGCTCGAGAGGCTAAGGCACATTCGGTCCCCCAAGTAATGAGTTGTGAACAAAAGCCGTTGAAGCGGCCTAAGCAAGAGAGCGAGGTGATAAGATTCACTAGGGAAGAATGCGAAGAATCTCCTCGTCATAATCATGATGCGATCGTAATAGCGACAAGGATCGGTAATGCCCGAGTTCTCAGGGTAATGGTCTACAATAGCAATGCAGTGAACATCATCTTCTTGGGGGCATTTCGAGAAATAAGGTTCAGTAAACGAGACATGAAGGCAAGTCCGTCGCCATTATACAGATTCACCGGGGAAAGCTTGGTCCCCAAGGGAATAATTGACTTACCTGTGACTCTTGGGGAAGAACCTAAGATCAGGATGGTGATGGTCAAGTAATTAGTGATTGACTACCCAACCACCTATAACATCATCTTAGGAAGGCCTACCCTAGACGACCTAAGTGCAGTCACTTCAGTGCGCTACTAAGCAATGAGATTCCCAACTCCATAAGGAGTCGCAACAATCTAGAGTTGTAAGAAAGATTCTCGGGAACATTACAATCGAGCCATTCATGTTGCACAAAATTGGCTGCTCTTGAGAACCATGGTCATTGTTGAGTCTGACCCAAAACCTAGACCCCTAGAATATACCAGGGATCCTCACATCCACAAAGAAGAGCCCACTGTAAGGCTAACAGAAGAGCTGGGAGAGTTATTTGTCAGCGAGGAAGACCCAACTTGTGTGTTGAAAATTGGTAGTAGTCTGAGCGACGAGCTGACAAACAATCTTGTGGGGTTCTTAAAGAAAAACCTTGATGTGTTTACTTGGGTACATGTGGACATGGTGGGGATCAGCCCTAAGGTAATGTGCCATAGGTTGAACATCGACTCAAGGGCTCGACCTATTAGATAGAAGAGAAGATTTATAGATGTTGAACGATCCAGAGCGCTTAAGGATGAAGTTGATAAGCTCATAAACATCAACTTCATCAGGGAAGTAAAGTACCCATACTGACTCGCCAACCCGATCTTGGTGAAGAAGTCGAATGGCAAATGATAGACTTGCATCAACTTCACTGATCTGAACAAGGCTTGTCTCAAAGACAGCTTTCCACTACCCTAGATTGATCAACTAGTAGATGAGAAAGCCAGGAATGCACTACTAAGCTTCATGGATGCATACTCGAGATACAACCAAATCCTGATATATCAGCCCGATGAAGAACACACCTCCTTTATTACTAACTGAGGTTTATTGTTATAGGTAGCTTGCCTAGCTTCAACAATGAGCAACGAAGCGATTGATTCTTTATTCTAGTTAGATTTCTTCCAAGTCCCAGCATCCTCGCATCTTTGGAATTAGTTTTGGTAATAGGGTAGAGATGCAGCTAGATGGATGCAATAATCACGTACCTAAGAGATGGGATAAGGCCCGAGGGAAGAAATGAAGCCAAGACCCTTTGAGCAAAGTCAGCTCGGTATATGCTTATCAATGACAAATTGTATAAGTGTGGGTATAACTCGTTGCTCTTGCGGTGTATTAATCATGAAGACACGGAGTACGTCTTAAAGGAAATCCACGAAGGCATTTGTGGGAACTATGTATGAGGCAGATCTCTAGCATACAAAGTACTTCGCCAAGGGTATTATTGGCTGATAGTCTTTAACGATATGGCAGACTTTGTACGCAAGTGCGACAAATGTCAAAGAGTTACAGATGTTCCATGAGCTCCACCCCAAGAATTGACAACTTTGACAAGTCTTGGCCTTTTGCAATCCGGGGGATCGATCTAATAGGCCATTTGCCTCAAGGAAAAGGGGGTGTTAAGTTTGTAGTGGTCGTAGTAGATTACTTTACTAAGTGGGTAGAATTCAAGTCTTTAGCTACCATCACTTCAAACAAGCTAAAGGATTTTATCTACAAGAACATCATTTGTAGATTCGAAATGCCTTATACCATAATAACTGACAATGGGAAACAATTCGATTACAAAGACTTCCAATCATTCTACGAAAGGCTCGAGATAAAGAAAAGGTTTGCCACTATTTACCGGCCTCAAGCCAATGGTCAAGTAGAAGCTGTAAATAAAGTGATCAAGCACACCATCAAAAAGAAGCTCGATGCCCTTGAAGGAAGATGGGCTAATGAAGATAGGCTAATGAACTGCTTGAGGCCTTATGGTCTTACAAAACAACTGCTAGAAGCTCGACAGGAGAAACCTCATTCTCGCTTTCATACGGATGAGAAGCAATGACCTAAGTTGAAGTGGGGATTAGTTCATTTTGGAGAGAGGTCTTTAATGAAGAAACAAACAAAGATCTTCTTCACCTGAGGCTAGATCTAATCGAAAAACATCAAGCCAAGTTTTAGCTAAGGCTCGTTTCCTGTCAATAGCAAGCCAAAAGATACTTCAACTCCTAAGTCAAAATTAGAGACTTTGGGGTGGGCAACCTAGTTCTCAGAAAGGTTGTCCCAGGTACACAAAACCCAAACTTAGGCCCAAATGGGAAGGTCCTTTTAGGATCCCCGAAAAGTTCACACCAAGAACTTTCCACTTGGAACACCTCAACGGTGAAGCTATACTACAAGCATGGAATGCCAAGCATTTATGAAGGTACTACCAATAAGCAGCTTGGATTTCAATTATGTTTTGTCTTTTTACTATTTGATGTAAGCTCTCTTACGGCCAAATTTCATTCATTAATAAAGAGGTATTATTCTTAAACTTTGTTTGTTTGTTATTTTTTATCTATTGTTTCATGATCGCAACCTAAGCGGCCACATCCAAAAACTCAGAGTCAAGAGTTCGAAAAAAAATGTAGCTTAACTCCATAAGCCATGCCAAAATTCAACTTATTGAGGGAGAAATTCCCTAAATCGACGAAGTTAAAACTTGGGGAAAACCTGAGTAAAACAAGTCGAAAGAAAATCAGTCCCAAATCGACGACCAACCAAAATTTGAGATAGACAACTAGTCCAAACTCAACGTTATCGCACGAAAGATTTTCTTTTTGTTTGAAAAGTTCCTAAAGAGAAGCGAGCCACGCATAACTTAGAACTGTTTTGTTCCTAAAGAAGCAGGTCATGCATAACTTGGAGCAAATTCAAAATTTTCAAGTTAAGCTCGATCAGAACAATTGAAATGACTCTGCATAAATGAAAATGTTACTTGACAAAAAAATGAGAAAACCAAATTTTCATTGATCAATGTAGTTTAGTTACAAGCTAAACTAAAAAAAAAAAAAAAAAAAAAAATTCTCTAAACAGTAGGAGCAGAGTAGCGGTATCATCGCCTATGGGGGCAGAAGCATCGTCGGTAGCAAAAGTCTTGGTAGCTTTTTCAAGGGTAGGAGCTGGGATATCTCTCGAAGGCTCGACCGGGGGAAGGTCAAAGGTGATAGCTTGGAGCGAGGCTAGAGGAGTTAGGTCTTTAACTTCTTGTTTGACCACGGCTTCTTCATCCTCTTCTTCGATCACCTCCTTATCCTCGTCGTTGGATTTGGAGCTGCCTGAATAGACGTACTCCATGCCTTGTGCCTCGGTCTTTATCTTGTCGATCTCCTTCTGATAAGCCCTTGGAAGGAAGGAGAAGTCAAGCGAGGGATGAGCTTCCCACAACTTCTGCACTAGGAAAACTGAGGTATGCCAGGCATGGCTCTTGACCATCGACCTCAACTCCTTGACGTCAAGCTTCAGCCGCTCAGCTTCTAACTTGGCCTCTTTGCGGTCTTCCACCTTCGTGGAAAAGTCGCACGAAGCCTTCTCATATTTGGCCTCCTAGTCCGAGGCATTCTTTTGAGCCATGGCAAGCTCGAAATTCAGATTATTATTGGCACCTCGTTGCTATGCCAAACTCTTCTCGACCTTGGCTAAGTCTGCCTCAGCCTTCGCGCTAGTAGCCTCATTCGCCTTAAGTTTGTTAAGGAATTCCCCTTCCTTGACCTCGAACGCCTCAACCTCATTTCTCAACCGCTTGAGTGTTAGAGTAGGTGCCCCAGAACCAATCAATTATTGTAGAATTGACTCTTTGTAATAATGCTTATTAATCAATAAAAGACATTTTATTCTATATCGTGTAAATCATAAATGTATGTATTGATATATGTCCTTAGGATGGTAGAACTGTGACGAGGTTATCAAGTGTTTCATCTTGATAGTGAGAACCCTATGATCACATATGGTGGCCATTCTAGAAATGTTGGTAGCCCCAGTATTATTCTGACCGAGGACACAACTAACATGGTAAGGCTATCATAACGTTGAATGACCCTGTCAAAAGACAGTGACTAATCTCACTTGTCAAGGTTGTCTGCTGACAACCTGGTGTAACGCATGGGTGCTTGCTGTAGGCAAGTTCACTAGACAAACCCACCAGAAGATTCCATATGGATGGTAACCCCAGTGTCTATGGAATAAATCCTCTAGCGAATGACAGTGCATGTGATCCTTAGACTTGAGATCACCAGAGCGCCTTGTGCACCGATTGGTGTAGTTTGACACTAGCATAACATAGTTCTATTCAAAGCTATCAATACGTTAGTGATTGGCTGCATCGAGTGTATCAAGACTATGGTGGATTGATAAAGGATTCATCACTCTCGGGTTTGGGAGAAGTTATCTCATTGCGCAATTCAGTAAATGGCAATGACACTAAATCTATGGCCACAGTGGGATTGAGTTGTTACTCAATCCAATTTATTTATCCGGTCATTGGTTTAGTACCTGAACACAAAGATATCGAGAATAACTGAGGTTGACACTATTTATATACCTCAGCCTTGATGAGATAATGGATGATGAAAGGATTTGATTGCATGGTAACCATGCCATTGATAGGTAGCTATTTTGCTGAATCTGAATCTATTAGGTGGCCATGATGCCTTGCTAGGGGCCAATCTTGGTCTATGTGTAGTGAAACGATTAATCGGTGTTAATCACAATACTACTCACTACCGATATGATAAGGAGCCTACGGGTCACACACTTAGAGGATAATTTAAGAATCAGTTTGTGAAAAGAGTATTTTCGTTTTTTAGGACGAAAGGGTATTTTGATAATCTCACAGTGCAATTAAATTTGCTGAGGTTGTTGCCTGTTTTTAATTTAATATTAAAATTAAATTAGTGAGATTATATAAAAATATATGTGCGCATATATTTAAACGGATTATTATTATTAATTAAATGTTAATATATTTTATAAATATGTTAATTAATTATAATAATAATTAATTAAAATTTAAAATAACAATTAAAGGGTGTTTGGTTGCAAGGGTGAATTAGGGTTGGAGCCCATGACTATTTCCTATTGGAATAGGGTTTTAATTATTGCACTATATAAGTGCAGCATAAATTAAAACAAAACAACAATTTCATTCAATAAAGAAAAGGATCCAG